AAATAGATAAACAAAAAGTATGACTGTGGGAAAAATGAAGTACTAAACAAAACGTGTATTGAAAATACTTAAACAAAAATAGAAAAAATGGTTTGGCAAGGGATTTGATTCAGTTCAGTTCAGTTTAGCTCCAATCAGTTTAATTCAGTTCAGTCCAACTCTTAATTTTCCTCTCTCATAAAATATTCATTTCATCTGAATTCAGTTCAGTTCAGCTCCAATCAGTTCAGTTAAGTTCAGCTCCAATCAGTTCAGTTCAGTAAATGTGAACAAGCCCTAAATTAAATTGATGAACATGACTAGCTAAATCAAATTCGGTATATTACTCAGCATGTATCCAGTAGATGATAAATAGATTTACTTAACTATTACTTAGTGTTACTCTTAGATTAGATCAATTATAGATCTCAAGTTTAATCTTGACTTAAAAACATCTAGATCGGAATTAAACTTCACCAATAGTTTAATGAAATCAAAGACATTTTGTGCTTGTCTCAATCAATTTATTAATATTTTCTCCATGATTTTTAGTTGATATATTTGGACTTTGTAAAGTTTTATGTGCAAAATTTGTTGTTTTCTATCTGTTTTTTATTATTTCAAATATAGTACTCCCTCATTTCGTAATAATTGCAACACCTGTCTTTTACATTTATTTTATAATAATAGCAACACCACCTTATTTAGTAAGGATCTAATACTATTTTACTATTTCTTTCTCCTACTAACCTCACTTAAATTTTTATTTTTATTTTTTTTATTCACTCTCTCTTACTAACAATTAAATATATCCCCCACTAAGTGTACCTTATATTATAGGCAAAATTGGCTTCAACACTCTGAATTATGGCTTGGGTGCACCCAGCACCCTGAACTTTGCTTAAAGGCCAAACACCACAAACTAATGACTTGGGTGCAAAGCACACCTTTAGTGAGTTTTCCAACCACCATTCTCATCGGAGCCGGTGAATTTTTTTGATTTGCGTGCCAAAAATGTCCCATAAAGCAAGATTTTGGGGGTCAATTTGAAATATAAGGGACCAAATTGAGCTCGAAACAAGCAAAAAAAATTGCATAAATGGCTCAATTTGGCTTAAAAAACAATAACATGCAAATCAAGATACTTTATAACATGCTCACCAAACATGTACACTATTTTTTTTTGCTTGTTTTGAGCTTAGACCCCCGAAACCTTTACGGGACATTTTTCAGCACATAAATTGAATAAATTCACCGACTCCGGCGAGAATGGTGGCCAAAAAACTCACTAAAGGTGAGCTTTGCACCCAAGTCGTTAGCTTGTGATGTTTTGACCACTAAGTAAATTATAGGGTGCTGGGTGCATCCAAGCCATAGCTCTACGTGTTAAGGCCAGTTTTATCTGTATTATTTAGTTCACTTTTGATCCACGCCCTATAATTTTTGTTAAACTTTGTGCAACACTTAATGTTATGTTATGATTATTACAAAACGGAGGGAGTATTACTTTTTCCAAGGGACATTGAGTCCTAAATGATTATGTTCTCGATCACTTCTCTCCTATTGATGTGGCTGATAGTTTATTTATTGTCGGAGACCAAAAACCAGTACTCTTACTATAATGTGAATGTATAGTGGTTATTATTTGCTTATTTCCGCTAACCAACGTTACATGACATGAGCTAATCCGTCCTTTATTTATCTTTTTAAAATGTCAATGAAAGTTTACTTTTTCAAGATAAGTAACATGTGTGTCAATATTTTTAATTGATTAATTTTTCCTTCCTACTACAACAATATGCGAAAGACAAAACTAATATATATCCAAGATTACAAACCAAATCTAAAGTTGTTTATTGTTAGTTGTTTGAATTTTAATATATTTATCGCTTCAAAAGTCGACAAAATATGAGGAATTCACACAATCATATAGTGATATGAACCACAAATTTTAAACCAATACATAGAAAGATATGATTATACTATAAATTGTATAAAATCTGATTGTATTTAGTGATGGTAATAGATTTTCAATTTATATATATGTTACGCATACATTAAGTTGCTTAATACGTAGTATTTATAACTTGTAAGAAAGTAGATCTAAAACCAACATTATAATTAGTAAATATAAGTATTGAAATATTTCTAGGGATATATATACAAAAGGGTGTTTTTTTTTTACAAGACGAGCAAAGAAACAAGGCAACTAAAAAATCAAAAACTAAAAAGACCAAAAAAGTAATTGACGACGACAAGCCTGGCCTGCCAGCCAATGAGCCGGAACAATCCACTGACGAGGAACCTTCCTGAAATCACAAGTTGAAAACCTGTTGATGACGTCCAGAATCTCTTGAAAGATCCATAAGCAAGCAATATCTCGACCAATCTTATTTTGAACAAAATGAAACAGAGTAGCGCAATCTGTGTAAACCAATAGCCTCCTAAACCCGCGACGATCAGCAGCTTTAAGAGCCCAAAGACAGGCCTGTAATTCCGAATGAAGGGTCGAGGAAGAAATGAAAGCTCTAGAACCACCACCTAAAACCCAATCCGAATCTGGAATTCTGAAAATCCATCCTGCACCAGCAGAATAATCTCGAGCATTAAAGGCACCATCACAAATTAGACAGATTTCAGAAGTTGTCCCAGGAAAGCCTCGAACACAACAATACGAAGAAGGAGAACTACGCTCAATACGAGATCCCGAAGTAGAAGCTTTAACCATAACTTTAAAATCTTGAGCAATAGAACTCCGAGAAACCCAGTCTTGCATAATACGATGAATAAAATCAGGAGAAATGACAGCCTGTCGAAAAACTTTATGATTGCGAGCAATCCAAACAGCCCAGAGAAAGGATACCAAGTTGACCGTAATTTTCCAAGATTTAGCCTGCAGCAAATCCGCCACCAAATTAACGAACCAATCTATGAAAGAAACATCCTGTCGAGCATCAATTGAAGAAATGATATGGACTCTACTCCTGACAAGAGTGGTAAAAGGGCAATCACGAAATAGATGGTCCACAATTTCCCTCTCAGTAAGACAGAAAACACAGGTGGAGTCCACTGGAACCCCACGAAGTTGTAAAACACCATTGAGAGGCAAAGCATCATGAAGCAGCTTCCAGCAAAAGCACTGAAACTTTGGCATAAGAGGTAAAACCCAAAACATCTTCCACCACGAACACGAAACAGAAGAAGCGCCATCATTATAATCAAGGCGACGGAGCATCATAGCGTAGGCTGATTTGGCGTTAAAACAACCATCCTTTGTAAATTTCCAATATACAAAATCATCCATTGGCCTACTTGGCCGTTCGAAAGCTAAAATACGATTGGCTGTGGAAGAATCAAATAGCTTATGAACCATAGATGTGTCCCACGCGTAAGAACGCGGATTGATGATGGAACAAACATGAGACGGGAGAGGCACCTCACAATTATCTCTAAAAGATATAGATTCTCCTGGAACCCAAGAATCTTCAAGGATACGAACCTGAGTTCCAGAACCAACTTTCCAAGCCGCACCATCTGATAATACAGACAGACCTTGCGGTAAACCCTGACATCCCCAAGAAGAACCAGGAATCCTTCTAGACCGAAGATTGTGAATAGAAGGATATTTAGCTGAAAGAAGCCTGGAAACTAAGAGTTGAGGATGATGATGAATACGCCAACACTGACGAGCCAACAAAACAGTATTGAAAGAGCTCAAACGACGAATCCCCAAACCTCCCAAACCCTTCGGAAGGTGTAAAAGAGTCTTTGAGCACAAAGCTAGACCCCGAGAGCGAGAGTCAGACTTCCACCAGAAACGAGCCAACAAGTTGTCAATCTTTGAGCAAATCGAAGTGGGAATGTGAAAAACTGAAATAACGTGATTAAACGAAGCAAACAAAACCGAATTAATAACAACCAACTTCGCTGCTGAGGAAAGGCCCAAAGAGGCGAAATCCGCTAAACGCTGAACCACCTTATCTATAAGAAAACTAAAATCAGAAACTTTTCTGCGCCCTAGATCCACTGGCAGACCTAAGTAAGAACCCAGTGTGGGCTTACTTTGAAGCTTTAGACTTCGAGCAAGGAAATCCTTATAGTCCTCAGGAGTATTGGGGCTAAATTTAACAAAGGATTTTTGTAAATTAATCACCTGTCCAGACAAAGAGCAAAAATCTGATAGAAGACCAGAAAGATTTTCATAGGCTTCAGGAGTAACCTGTAAAAATAATAAGGAATCGTCAGCAAAGAACAAGTGAGAAACCATAGGAGCACTTCAGGAAATGCAAATTCTTTTGAAGAGGGACGCTCTTTCCGCCTTTTGAATCATAGCAGACAAGATTTCCATGCAGAGAACAAATAGATAGGAAGAAAGAGGATCGCCTTGACGAAGACCACATTGAGGACGAAAAGTCTGAAGAGGATTCCCATTAACCAGTACTTGATAAGAGACTGTAGAAACACATTGACGAATAATGTGAATCCAATAAGGCGGGAAACCATAAGCTTGGAGTAGTCTAAACAAAAACTCCCAATTAACCCTGTCATAAGCCTTATTCATATCCAACTTGATAGCTGCATAGAACCTCTTCTTAGCTTTCGACTTATTCATGAAGGAAATGACCTCGTGGGCTATTAAAGCATTATCCGAGAGGAGACGACCCGGGACAAAAGCATTTTGAAAATCTGCAACCAGACTAGGTAACACCTGACGAAGACGACTGGTGAGACACTCTTAGCAGCACATTTGTAAATGACATTGCATAAACCAATCGGGCGAAACTGAGAGATAAGTCCACCTTTGGAATTAATGTCAAAAAAGTACGGTTCCAATCTTTCAACAAATAACCATGAGCAAAGAAATGTAGAACCGCAGTTGTCACTGATGGGCTTACCTCATCCCAACAGTTTTTAAAGAAAGCCGAGGGAAAGCCATCGGGACCCGGAGATTTATTATCATCAATACTAAAAATGGTTGTCCTAATATCCTCCAGAGAAAAAGGCTCCATTAGAAAGTTTTTTTATTGTGAGGTTAGGGAAGGCAATTGGAGACTATCCCACCATTCCTCATCATAAGAAGAAGCAGATGCCGAAGTTGTGAATAGATCCTTGTAGAAGGCTTGGGTAATAGAAGCTATTTGATCAGGGTTGCGATGCCATTCTCCGTTTGAATCTCTGAGACCAAAGATCCTATTATTTCTTTTCCGAGATTGAATAGAATAAAAAAGAAGGACAAAATGCGAATCCCCGAGAGCATCCCATTTTATCTTAGCTTGTTGTTGCCAGAAAATATAAGCAGCCTGTGCTTCTGCGACTTTCTCATTCTTAGTGGAAATAAACAGACAGCGATCAACCCGAGTATCAAGAAATCGTGAGGCTTGGTGAATGTCAAAAACCAGTTGTTTCCAGTTAATACCCCAAGCTTTCTTATGAGAAATACACCAGGCTAAAAGACGATCTCGAGAAACCGAAAGCTTTCTTTATAAAGCAAACATGGGAGATCCAGGAAAAAACATGGAAAAAAACCGAAGAAATAATGTCGTGTATGGCTGGAACAGATAAACACCAGTTTTCAATTTTATAGAGTCGCTTAATATCAACAGAATCAACTGAATCGGCTAGAATAATTGCGGCGTGATCCGAAAATAAAATTGGCTGATGAGTAAGTCTAGTGTCAGGATATTCCAGAAACCAGGTGGGGGAGGCATAAGCTCTATCTAAACGCTCAAAAATAGGATCCGAATCAAGTCTATTATTAGTCCAGGTATACCGAGGTCCCGAAAAAGGAACATCTACTAGATCCAAACCCATACGCCAATTTATAAATTCCATTTGCCCTGGAATTGAAAGGTTACCTCCTAACTTGTCCGAAAAGTATTCCACCTGGTTAAAATCTCCAATAATGATCACATTTGAAAGTGATTCTATAATGTTACTAATCAAGTACCAAATCTCCGAACGATTAGTAACATGGGGCGAACCATACACAAACATCACATGTTTTATTTCATCTCCTTGTACTAATTTACACAGATATACATTTTGGGAACTATAAACAGGAACTAAACCTAACGGAGTAAACCAGCAAATAAACATACCACCGCTAAGGCCATCAGCATCAATGCCACAACAACCCAAAAAAGGCAATGATGCTAATTTCCGCACAACACATCTACAGAAAGCATAGTTTCCAAAAGACACAGTATATCTACACCATGAGAGCGGACTAGAGAGGTAATATAAGGAATTTTTTGGGAGTTCGCCTGTCCTAAACCCCTACAATTCCAAAGTGCCACTTTCATCCCGCATTTGGTGACCTTTCCCGGGAGGTCACCGATCCCTCAGAAGACTCAAGAGAGATAGAAGAAACATCGGCCTTGCGTTTCTTGTAAGGAAGAAAACAAGAAAGACAAGGGGAAGTTGAGTATTGTTGCTGCTGATCATCTGGAAGAGGAGGGGAAGAAGGAGAAAGTGCGCCACCCGCGCACTTACGAGGCCCTTGTTGCTTAACCCATTCCCACATTTTCTCTCCGCTCTTTCTCAATTTAAGACTAGAATAAGTCTTCAGTTTGTTTCCAACTTTGCGCAAAGGAGAACAGGCTGAAGATTTAGATGGAGAGGAAACAACAGTATCCTCCATTGGCGGCGAAAAAGGCGGTGAGCAGTCCATTGGAACCACTGTGTCCGAGACAGAGGAATCCAAATCGGGACCCAGAGAATCATGCTCACTAGAGGTTGATTCGCAATCAGGTTGGAGAGCAGGCTGAAATTCGAACGCTTGTGAAGAAGAATCGGCTATATAGCCTGAGACGGCGAAGGTGATGGTGAATGAGAATTCGCAGCCGCCGTCGTCCCCTCCCAATTACTTGGGCCAGCCCCAAATGGATCTTCGAAAATCGGACCGGAAGGGCCTAAAGGAGGAGGTGAAAATACGGTAAATCCGAATTCGGAATAGGCACGACTTGATCCAAATTCAAACCCACTTGAGAAGCTTGAAAATATGGATAATTAGAAAAATTGGACTAGCCCAAGTTTGGAACATTAGAATATCCATTATAATATAACCCATTCGTAGAAGGAGAACTGGGCTCTGAGGAAACAATTCTGGAACTCAAGGCCCAACCTGAGTTATGACGGCCCACATGTCCAAAACTTGAGGCTGCTTGAACATTGTTAGACAAATCTTGAACATTAGAAGAGTCCAAGAACTGCCGCCAGCCATCACGTGAGTCATTTAGACAAGAATTCCCTTCTTAATTTCCTGATCCCCAACTCACACCATGATGCCAACCATTCCCATCGGAATATGCATGAGTGACACGTGGAGTTGAAGTGTCAACATAGTCTTGAGTTTCAAGATGTTCTCGAATAGAGCGAGTATTGCCTAAGTGTCTCCGCCTAACTTCATGTTGACGGCTCCGGAAAACACCAGACTCCGGTGGTGGAGAAAGACCTGGAAAAAAGTCTGCCATAGCATGATTATTAACAGAGGAACCTGAACGAGTATCGTCCGAGGCCAAGGGAAAGCCTAGACCACCACTGTCATAATCAGACGGTCGAGAATCAGCAGAATTTTCCATCGGATCCTCATCATCATAATCACCAAAGAACACTGCTGTGGTCCAATTTGCACGAACTGGGCGAATGCCTCGCACGACATTAGAATATAAATTGGTATCGGTAGGACCATATAGCACACGAGCGCCGCTTTCGTGGAGCTGACGAAAGCGAGCCTCTAGATGATAATTAATTGATGCTTGTTCCGAAGTACAAAAATTCCTACTATGCCCGACAAAACCACACTTTTTGCAAAATCTAAAGATACCCTCGTATTTAAAACGAACCCACGTGACTTGATTATTAGTAGTAGGAAAGTAACAACCAGGAATCAAGGGCAACGATAGGTCAACTAGAATATTAACACGAGGGTATGGAATAAGAAATTGACCGTTAGAGTCATCCACCATAGTTACCTCTCCAACATGGGATAAGACAATTGAGGCTATATCCAGAGTAGAATAACGAACTGGAAGACCCTCCACTTGAACCCATAAGTCAACCAAGTGAAGGTTGAGATTGAGAGGCACCGAGTGACCTCGAAGCCTTTGAAGAACAAACAAACCACCTCGGAAGTGAACCCACCCTCTAGAGTCAAGTTCCTCAGCATCCGCCTGAGTACCACAAAAAAAGATGTAATCACGACCATATGGAAAGAAACGAACAGGAGCACGCAGGTGCCAAAATCTTGAAACAAGTCTCTGAATCATAAGAGGATTGTAATCGGTTCTATCATCCCAACAACGGCCTATAATACTACAATTCCAATCTAAGTCCAAATCATCATCTAGAGGAGGAGGAGGAATATAATCCTCTCCTATAATATGAGGATAAACGAAAGTAGTAGGAACAACAAAACGAGACATTATTAGAGGAACTATTAAGTTTAGAAAAGGAAAATGAAGAACAGGAGCAGGAAAGCAAAGAAGTTAGCTGAGTGCATCTAGGCGCATAGGGACTATATATTTGGCATGTACATAGGAAGACAATCTAGAGTTCGGTGGTACATTTTCTCTTTTATTTTAGTATAGTAGTACATTTTTGTGTACTACTATATATGTATAATGTACCATTAAAATATAAGTTATTTGAATAGTATTTTTTATGTACTATTATACAAGTAGTGGTACTTTTTGTCATCATATTTTTCACCTTCAGATTCCCAATATTTACAAAAATGTCATCCTATTTGCATCCTTAATACATAGGGACTATGCGCCTAGAGTTTTCCAAGTTAGCTGGGGTAAGAAGAAAGAAGTTTAGAAAAGGATTATGTGTGAGGGTTTCTCACTCTAAGATTTTCTCTCACTAGGAGTTTTAATTTGCTTGTCAAAGAGGGCAACTCATCCAATATTTTGTGTTACAAAAGGGTGTGTTATGTGTAGTATAAGTAGAGTGGTCAAATTGAGTGATGCAGTTTAGGTCCAAAATGATTTTTGATGGATCTAGTCACTTCAAGTACAGGACATACTAGCTTTGCTTGTCGTTTCAGAGTTAATCAGATTAGTAAAGGCCTGTTCTTATACGTTTATTTTCAGTTCAATTCAGTTCATAATTTCCTTCTCTTATAATATATTCATTTCAGTTCAGTTGAATTCAGCTTATGAAAACAGGCCCTAAGTCATGTCTGCAAATTAAAACGAAATTTTTGTAATTTATTTTAAACTTGTGCCAAAATTGTGTAGAACATTAAATGAGACACACCAAATAGAACTAACAATTGGATTTTGGATAGATAAATTAAAGTATGATATGGAGTACATATACGATTAAAGATTGAATTTACTTGTACATTTTTTCTTACATTGAGTGATGGATTATGAATAACAATTAAAACACACAGCTTTTTTTTTTTTTTTTTTTTTTTTTATATAGTAATTTTTATGGAGTAAAATTTAAATTACTTTCTTCCTTCGCAAATAAAATGTTTAGCTAATTGCTGTCTATATATTTTTTTTAATTAAATGTCAATAAAAAAACCCATGATGTTCAAATAATAAGTCAAACTGATCCAAACGTTAAAAATCGGACGGAGAATTTGAAGACGATTAGAAGTGTTAAATTCCAACCGAACTCGATCCGAAACCGAGCAACACAAAAAATATCCAATTTAAAATTTACATAGCATGAATAATTTAGCATCACTCAAGTTTAAAAATAAACCCGACCATTTGACCTCATCGAATCCAAGCCGAATATCGAAATTGACACCTCTAAATACCATTGATTATTGTCTTAAGTAATCCTTGGTAGAGTATAAATGTGTGCGAAAATGCCTAAAATCGACAAGGAGATACATATTTCAAGCTTGAGCCAACCACAAGTAGAATATGAAAATCTAACCAAATTATTTGAATGGAAAAATTGAAAACACGGAATACTAGGCAGCAAGTCATCCACGTGGAAAATAACAAAAATATTACACTATTCATTCTGACAACGATCTATTATTATTCAACTAATCCTTTTAAAAAAGATTTAATAATTTTTCATGAAATAAATTTATTTTCCTACCTGCTTTATTAGTTTGTCCCCTCCTTTAAATTGGCCCTTATTGCAGTGGAAAAATCTCACATTTAAAACACGTACACTTGAGAGATAAGCTTATTAATTTTAAGCTTGAGAAAAATGGGTTCATCAAATAATTTTGTTCTATTTTTAGTCATAGTTTCATCTTTTCTAGTTGTAATTTCTGAGGGTCAGCAAAGCAGTGTACCCGTTGTGCCTGGCCTTTCATACACATTTTATTCAACTAGTTGCCCTAATTTGGAATCCATTGTTAGGATTCATCTTCTTCAAGTTCTTGAGAATGATACTACTCAAGCCGCGGGTTTGCTTCGACTTCACTTCCATGATTGCTTTGTTCAGGTATATAATGCATTCAACTATTTGTTAATATATATGTACCTTACATGTACTATATAATGCATCAAACAATAATAGATTTAATGTTATTTTCGCTTAAAATTAATATTTTGAATATATACATTGAAAAAAAAATTAAGCCTACATGGCTAATGTGGTGTATACGTACGGACCTAAGACTACTCTATCTGGAAATTTAATTTGTGGTACTACTAGTTAACGTAACTTACTACTTACCACTTGTTTAGACATCACTTGCTTCAAATCATTTTGTGTTATTGCTCACTTATTAATGTCCCTTATTTATCTTATTACTTGTTTTTCTCCCAACTTTCAGTTTATTTGCTTGTACTTATTTAGCAATTAATATCTTTAAGTACATAGAATTAAAAATCGAATGTTGAGATTTTACAAAAATACTTTGAGACAAATTAAATCTAGCTAATTAACATGATCCTAGACATTGTACTTGACAAAAATTATTTTACTACCTCAGTTTTATATTATTTACAACGATTTGACATAAATTAGAGAGGAAAAATGTCTAATTATTGCAAATAATATGAAACAAAAGTAGTATTTTTCTTATGTTTAGTTAGTACAGTACACTAATTGATAAAAATCTTCTATGACAGAAAGAAATCATAAGGAGTATATTGTTTTAGTCATAATTAATTTTTTTTTACAATTTCCTTGAAACTTGTGGTCAAATAATACTAATCGTGTTTATATATGCAACGTAAGGGATGTGATGCTTCAGTATTGCTAGATGGATCAACAAGTGGTCCAAGCGAGAAAAGTGCAATCCCGAACTTAACATTGAGGCAGGCGGCATTCAAGATTATAAATGATATACAAGCTCTAATTCAAAACCAATGTGGCCAAGTTGTGTCCTGTGCTGATATCACTGCTCTTGCCGCTCGCGAATCCATATTACTGGTACGAAACCTTATCTAGTATGGAGTACTTTATTATTTCTACACAAACATTTATGGTATATTTATGTTTGTGGTCCATTAGGAGTTGTTGTACTGTAGATCGAGAATGACGAGAAGTGAAGTACATTGATTGATAATAAGTAGACATTTTTAAGAAAATATCTTGAGATTGACTAGATTGGACCTTGCAATTGCACATAATAAATTTTACGGTAGCAATTTTATTGTACAGATTATATATCAAATTTGTGACACGACCTGACGTTGACCAAATTATAATAATATTTTCATATTTCATGTTTATGTCTAA